ACTTATGCTGACTGGTGATCTACTGTGGCTTAGTGTCTCCAAGTAACAACATAGCAGGCCCCCTGTCCTTTCTTAAAGAGCAACTCGATCTCTCTTTCTCAATTTCTCCGAGTTTTCCCAATTTTTGTTTTACCAATTTGATCCGCGTTTACAAATCACACTGGGTTTTAGAACCCAGGAAATCGCTTTGATTTTGTTGTCTTCCGGGGTCCGTTAAATAGTCGCATTCATCCAACTTTGAAATCGCGATATGCATTTGTTTTGGCCAACTGGCAGCGCGTTCAGTCCGAGGTCACTTCAGTCCGTTCCCTGACACGGCAATTCTTCGAGCTCTTGTTCATTTTAAATAACGTCCAGTCCTCTCTGAACCCCTGAGCCATTCCCCACACGTTTGTCACATTGTAAAGGCTGAGTTAACCAGCTGACGGAGCAATGTCCCGGACTTCTACATACTTGGCAATTACAATGAATGAAAGGAGCCGATATTACACACAGCTGTTGAACACACACACACACACCCACAAGTATTTTGATTCGGCGAAATTTGCATCGATTAAAAGTTCTTGTATTTAGACATAATGACATTAAAAAAAGTGAAACTGATTGCATATCTGGTTAAACACCCCGTTCAGACAGCCTTGGAAATATCCTACACAGGACAGCACTTTCATGCAAGATTACAGCTACATTTCTGAACCGTCAGAAGACCAAAAATGACTTTACAATCACAGAAACTCAGCAGGTCTGGCAGCATCTGTACAGAGAAAGCAGGGTCAACGCTTGAAGCACAGTGATCCTTCATCAGTTCAGACTGATTTTTTTGACTATATAATCAATCGGATTTAATATGCAAGGACAGAACGGGATGTTTTCCTAATTAACCCGTTCAGAGATATAAATGGTGGGACCTGAACTCTGGCGCTCTGGCCCAGAGATAGAGACACTAGAGGTAGAGTCTCCCACACAAAGAGATAAGCAGAACTGGATAAGGTTGGTCTGTATGGTAAACATTGGAAACAGAAGATTGTTGTGTGCTTTAAGAAGGTTTCTAAAATGCTCCGTGCCCCATTGAAGGTCTGTGCTATGGGCGCAGTTCCCAAGTCTCACAGCGTTACAAATATTGACAGAAGTTGGGTGGCAATGGTTGTTGACTTGATCGCCGAACTCACAACCCGAGCTACAGATCTTTGCAAAAGTTGGGTGGCTGTTTTTGACCGGCGCTGAGTCAATGGGCCGAAGTGCCTTTGTCCCGTGCTGTGGACCCCTCTGACTCCTCACTGATCACTCCGCTCAATGTTTGCGTTTGGCAGGAAGTGAGAATGTGTCGGGTTTCGGGGGTGGGGTGTAGTGGGGGTAAGGGCAGGGAGAGTGAAGTGGGGGGTGAGGTTAGAGATGGAGGGAGGATGTGCGGGTCAGTGGGTGGGGATGAAACAGCCTCTGTGTAAACAGCCTCATTGAAACTAATGGAAGCATCAGGATTACTACAGGGCTCACATGCGATGTGTCTGGGACTGAGAGACTCATTCAGTCCCTAGTCTGCGCTGGCCAAACACTGCAGGCTTTGCCAGCACAGAGCGAATTAAGCAATTAATCATTCATATCCTCGGCAGCTTGAGAGGGAATTCTGCAACATCAGTGCATATACACTACAGAGACTTCAAAACTATTGCATTGCAATTAATACAATTTAGCAAAGTAAAATAACTCAGTGGAAAATACCCGATCATTATCAATTAAAAAGAAACTACACTTTACTGTTTCTTTACAGTCAGCACATCTGTTAAGTGGTTACGGTCAGCCAATAAAAATACTGGACCAAATTGTTGGGGATAAACAGAACTTAATTAATTGCAAACTTTCAAAGGAAAATGGACAATTCCTCCATGTAGCAGTTGCGATTAATGACCCCGGTGATAATTAATCTAAACAACAAACAAGTGATCAGGATGTTTATTAAGAAGCAGTTAATAGAATTCTCACACCTAAACGTGGTGCGAGTGTTACAGCGGGGAGAATCTGGTAATGAAAGAACATTTCTTTCATTGCAGTAAATCAGCTGGCTGTTAGACAGCACGGAAATCCCTGACGGTGTTCATCACCCTCCGGGTGGAGTTTCAGAGTTCCGTGGTCTAAAAGACAGACTCGAATGGGAAAATAACATCCTGAGCCCACCGCAACTCCCTGCAATTAATGACTGGCAACGGTGGAATATGCCACTCACTGTCATATCCTCGCTACAATTCCCTTCCCTTCCCTTCCCTCAGGTTTAAAGGGGCTTGCTCCCAATTTTGCCATCGTATATGATCTCCCACCCTTCCAACCCTCATCCACACCCAGTCTCTAGCTGCACATCCACTGACGCTAGTAAACATGGCCCATCTCTGCCCTACCCCAAGGTGGCTATTGAGTTAAACCCTCACACAACACTTCGAGGCGGGTGGATCTCACTCTTCCAGTGTGCTCTTGCCTGGCCCCCTCTCTCATCGCCCAGAAGTCAACCGTAGCAGAACTCTCTGCCGCCTTTCACCCAGCGCCTACCTTGTCTCCTGTCCGTCGGCCATGCACAGACACTGACTCGGACGGAAAATTCGCATCCTAGTGTTAAAGTCCCTCCCAAAGGCATCACCCTCTCCCTAACTCCTGAAAAGTCACCAACCTCCCTCAGGAACCCCGCATTCTCCATACTCTCCCTTCGACCCGCCCACATTGTAAGTAATCTCCTTAAACGCCTCTCTCTTATTTTAAGACCACCAACCCAATTCTCCTTGTCAAACTTTAAGGTGTTCTTGGTAATATATCTCCTGGCTTTGGTATCTTCCGTTTTAGCCTCAGGGCTCTGGAAAAGCACGAGTACGCACGGAGTCATTCAGCGAGCACAGGTATATCACTGGATCCAATCGGTTTCTGATGAAGGGTCTACGCCCGAAACGTCAGCCTCTCTGCTCCTATGATGCTGCTTGGCCTGCTGTGTTCATCCAGCCCTGCACCTTGTTGTCTCGGTGTCACACCTGTGCCAGGGTTGGATTGCAGGAATACCGAAAGTCCAAGTTTTTGTTTGTTCTATTTGTTCGTGGGATGTGGGCGTCGCTATTATCCAGCTCCAATTGCTCAGAAAGAAGAGTCACTGACATTGCTCTGGCTCTGGAGTCACGTAGGCCAGGCCAGGCCTGGTAAGGACGGCTCTATCGTTTGGCTCTAAATGGACCAGCCAAAGTAGTGGCCAACTGGAGTAGGACCATAAGATATAGGAACAGGATGGCCATTCAGCCCCTCGAGCCTTCCACACCATTCAATAGGATCACGGTTGAGTATTGGCACCCTACCTGTCTCAGATCAAAAGATTACACACACGAGGGACAAGGTTCTTCCCCATCACCCCAGCCGCCACGATCAGTTTGGTACTTGAACGAAACAAAACTGTGAAATGTGAAAGACAAACAGAAATCGCTGGAGGAACCCGGCAGGTCAGTGAGGGGGAGAGAGAGAGACAACTCCGTTGTGCTGAGTTTCACGAGCAATTTCTGGTTCAGTTTCAGCGGTGGCGCGTTGCAATTCACCTGACACCATTCCCCCGCCCCAAGACACACACACACACACACACTCACCATGTGCCCTTCATCTTTCCCACAATGAGTGGACAAACTGACAAGATCACCTCTCGGTTGGGGGCGGCCAGCGGTTCACCTCTAGCTCAGAGCATCCTCAGTTTGAGCGCGGCCGCGTGAAACGCCAAGTGACTCCTGAATAAGACACAACCAGCCAAGGATTCCCAGGCAGTGCAACTCGCTCAAATAGCCCGATCTTTCCCTTCTCCCAGTTTACGGACACACTGGGTTTTTTTTTTGGGCGCTTGGACAAAGAGGCCAGCTCATCCTGATTTGCATTTCTAAAGAGCTGATTTACATTTCAGATTGCACGCACTCGAGCTGGAATTGCGTCATTGTCACTAGCTTTCTAAATATAAAACCCTGGTCACTCAGTACCTTTTCCCTCAGGGAGCAGGACTGCGTGACCGGGCGGCAGGGCAGCGCTGTTTAACACTCCCATCCCCCCGCCATGGGGTGAGCTTTGCAGGTGAATCCAGCAGCTCAATGTTGCAAATATTGACTTGCTCTCTTGGTTGAACCAGCCCATTTTAGGGGGTGTTTGTTCTGCTGGTCCCAATACTCAACAAAAGGCGTGTCTCCACCGGACACCAGCGCTTCCCCCCCCGCACTGTTTTTCAATTAATGGAACTGAGCTCCCTCACTCGCAGGTGAACAGTCGGTGTGGTCAAACCCCCAGCCCCAATAATCCAGCAACCAAAAGAAATACTCAAATTAAACAAAGGACAGCGGGTGCTGAATCACATTGTTCTGAATTAACGTGTTCAGTTGTTTTGAATTGCCCTGGAGCTGAGTGGCTTGGCTGAGGCTTTTCAGAGGGGTGATTAAGAGACACAAATATTGCTGGGGGTTTGAAGTCACACGTAGGAAGGATGGCGAACTTCCTTCCTTTAAAAAAAAGGCATAGGTTTTCATCACAACCGATTATGGGGAGCTTTTAATTCCAGATGTTATGGGATTCAAATTTCACTCCATGCTGAAGTGGGTTATGAATACCTATCCCAGGAATATGAGGCCTGAAGTAGTTAGACATAACAGAACGCCCCCACCTCTCCAGATACAGCCAAAACTGTCTTGTGATGGTGTCGGTCTTTCAAAACTTGATTTAATTGAGTTTTGTCTAAATCTTAAGAACAGCGCCTCTGGTCTTCCCGATTTGCTTTTTTTTCACGACTTTCAGCCTACTTTTTCGCTGACATTTTGATGAAAGTTTTTTTTCCAAAAAAAGGGCTCAAAACACTGTACTGCCCTCAAGCTCCACTTGGTGGCAGTCTTGCATGCAGTTGAATGCGCAGCTGCTTCTGTGTGTGAGATTGTAGAGATAATGGCTGAATTTCACATTCTTTTGACTAATTAATTGAGATGAATTGTGCCAAAGCGCTTATTTACAGGGACAACTCGAACAAGAAAACGTCATAGGTTTTGATTCAGAGCAGTTCGCTGCAACTCTGGGAGCGTAGCGCCCGTATTCTTGGATTGCAAAATAAACGCTTTGGAGCTGCAACAAGTCTGATCAAACTGCCCTTTAAAACCGCAAGCTTCACAGATGTCGTTATCAGACGCTGCAAACTCACTGACGCACACATGTCCCCACCGTTACAATGCATTCAAATCAGATTGTAAATGTTATTTTCGAATGATATTTCAGGCGTACGAGGTGGGGTGTTGTGTCTTAGAAGTGAAAGTTTCCCCTCGAGTTATGTAGTGCAAGGAACACTCTCTCTCTACAGACATATTAAGTATTAATTCGGGGGAGCATTTGTGAGTACCCTGTCTGTTGGGACAACCCCCCAACCCCAACCCCAACCCCAACCCCAACCCCAAAACACACCAC